CATACATATGGGCTTAAAGTTTCACTGAAATAGGTAGCAAAATATATGAAAAAGTAATAGAAAAGTAAAAAGATAAAAATTAAAAAAATATTGCACAGCCACATTACCTAAAAGTAAAGATGATGTTTAAAAAGCTCTAAACATGGATGATATAAATTATCTTCCATATAAAAACGTATAAATATTTCTTAGTACTTATCAGCATCTACATTTTAATGTAATACATTATTTGAATCATTGCTGAATGAGGTAATTGTCAAATCTCTAACAATGTTTTTATCCTATTGGAAATATTTGAGGGCAGCAACCAGAAAGAATTTCTCTAAAAATATTTCCGAGTCAAGAACAGCTATGTGTGCGGCTCTCCCAATGAGAGAATCAGCTGTGTTGGGCAAGGCGTTGATGACATTATATCGAACCAAATTACAGTCTTTGCTTTGCAGAACTGGGCGAAGCAAATTGTGGATCATTTCTGAATAGATCTGTCCTACGGAAAATAGAAAAAAGGAAGATTAGGTCACATGAGTAACTGAAAATATCCTCTGCCAACTCTTCTATAATTTATAAAACTTAGTTATATTATTTCCATGTGAAACAGGAAAATATCTCTTAAAATGCCTTTTCTTCAGCTGTCATGAAAGACTTTTAAATTATAATTTTTTTAAAAAGAATTACTTCATTTAACTTTATTTACTTATCTATTTTTAATTTGACCAGAGAGGGACAGAGTGAGAGAGAGAGGGAAAGTGAGAAAGCAAGCCGCCAGGTCTGGGATTTGAACTGTGGTAGACCATTTGGGAGTCCAGCACCCCCAACCACGATGCCACCGGCCAGCCCCTTAAATTATAATTGTTAATGGACATAAAATTGTACAAATTTATGGATACAGTGTTTTTTTTCAATAAATAATGTGTAATGATCAAATAAAGGTAGCAAACATATCTACTTACTCAAACACTTATCATTACTTTGTGTTGTGAATATTAAAAATTTTCCCTTCTACCGATTTTGAAATACACATTGAACTGTCACCAACTGTAGTTACTCTACTGTACTATAATCTTCAGATACTCTTGTATCTGTTAACCAAGTCTTCCCTTCCTTCTCCCAAATAATCTCCCCGCTTCTGGTATCCACCATTCTACCCTTCACTTTAATGTAATCAATTATTTTTCTGCTAATAAAGTGATGATACACAACATTTGTCTTTATATATATACATATATGTATATACATATACATAAAGACAAATACACACACACACACACACATATATATGTATAATTACTAGTTTTTGGTATAGGATGCGTGCACTTGCCAGAGAGAGATGGAGAGAGAGAGAGAGAGCGGAAAAGTGAGAAGTCACCCCCCACAGGGAATGGCCATGCCACAACCCCATCTCTTCCATTCTCCTCTTGGGATTTTGCATGAGAGGAGAATGCACACATGCCCAGTGTGATTTTCTTTTTTCTTTTTTAAAAATATTTTTGCCATAGGGTGCATTCACTAGCCAGATAGAGACAGTGAGAGGCAAAGTGAGAAATCCATCCCCCCCAGGGGGATGGCCACACTGTAATATTTTCTCTTCTATTATCTTCCTGGGATTTTGGGCATGCATGCACATACACTGAGCATGATTCTCAAGCCACTGGGTCTGGACTCTAACTGTGGTCGGCCATGTAGGAGTCCAGCGACATAACCATTAAGCCATCTGCTGGTCCTAAGAAGAGAGGAATCTTAGAGAAAGATTAATATCACATAAACTCATAAAAAATGTCTTGCCCCTACCTCTTCTCTTAAGTTTTCATTGAGTCAAGATGGATTCCTGGTTCCGTGCTATTTAAAAGATATGGTTACATAGGAAAAAATCCAACCATATCTTCACTGGATTCCCCAGTCCCCCAGTGGCACAGAACCTCACTGTTAAAGAATATTTATCTAGTTTCAGCTATCCACTTCAAAGTTAAACCTCTTCTGATGATTTTTCCTTGCACGAATTCTAGCCTTTGCTATAACAGAAATTAAAAATAAGCTATTTCGAAGATTCTAATATCACAAATGTACATTAAATATTTATTAAATGGGGCCAGTCTATGGCAAGGTGAAGGCAGCTGGATCCCACAATGATTGACTGTGTGGTTGGAGTCCCAGACCTGGTGGCCTGGGCATGCCCCAAATCCCGAGAGAATGGAGGAGAAGGGACTGTCATGTAACCATTACCCCAGGGGGTGGTGATTTCTCAGTCTCTCTCTGATGAACACACGTTCTATAGTAAAAACTAAATAAAATAAAAATTAAAAAAAAATTAATAAATGGAGTACCTACTATGTGTCGGCCACCATGCTGGGGCACTGTCAATACAAATGTATATAACAGATTTTCTGCTTTAGGGAGCTCTCATCGTCACAATGTGGAAAAGCAAAGATCAAAAGTTTAAAATCATTCTGACTCCTGAAAAGGAAATGAGTTAATACTGGCAGGCCAGGGGGCTGGAAGGTGGCGTGGTGCTTAAGGGAGCTGGACTCCCATGTGGTCGATAATGTTCAAGTCCCACACCTGGTGTTTTGCTTTTTCACTTTCTCTCTCTCTCTCGCTCTGTTCCTCTCTGGTCAAATGAAGATAAATAAATAAAGTTAAATTAAAAAAAAATATTGGCAGGTCAGAAACTGGGTTCTTGCCCTACGCCTGAAATTTATTAACAATAACTTTGAATAAGTCACTTAGCATTTCTGGGCCTCAGTAATAAAATGAATGAACAGGACGCAAGTGTTCTGGCTCCAAATGGCTATGAGTTCAATATCTGTTGTTATACACAAATAGGAGAATAAATACAATCTCTATCACTCACTGCAGTAGAGGGACAAATCCTTGCTGCCACATTTCCCTCAAAGTGAGGTACAGCAGAACATGCAGTATGAGATTTGCCACAACACCAACGCCAGAATCCGGAGGAATACAGATGCCTTTTTTGAGGCAGAAAATGGAGAAGAATTTGTAATTACATGAAAGAACTATTTTATTCGTCAAGCTAGCTTATGCAGCAGGAGAAAAAGAAAGGAAGAAAAATGGAGAAAGGACAGCTATTAGTATCAGTAGGTGGAAGAGGAAGTAAAGGAAAGAGAAGGGCGAAAAAAAAGAGAGTGAGAATAATAAAAAATAACTGGTGCAAAGTCCATTTATAGATAAAACTCTTTTTTTTTTTTTGGAGAGATTTTTCACTGTAGGGCGCGTGCGCTCGCCAGACAGACAGAGAGAGACATAGAGACAGAAAGCGAGAAGTCACCCCCCAGGGGGGATGGTCACGTCGCAATCCCTTCTCCTCCATTCTCCTCTCGGGATCTTGGGCATGCACGCACACGCGCCCGGCGTGAGTTTTAAGCCACCGGGTCCGGGACACGAACCGCGGTCGACTACGTGGGAGTCCAGCGACATAGCCATTATGCTAACTGCTGGTTCCCAAAACTCTTTGAAATACTTTAAATTGACTTCATTACCTGACTGTTTGTCCTTGAGCGCTGTCTTGCACATTTCAATGCGGGCAGAGTGATAGGGAACATAGCGATCCTGTAGGGATCCCACCAGCACAACATTTTTGAAGTAATGAAGCCCTGTGAACAGAAAATGAATTATAATTAAACAATTAGCCAGATTTAAAGCAATTTAGTATCATGTTAAGTGATCAAAAAATATATTTATTTACTCAGTGGTACTAAGTTTGTAACTTTTAAGATACCTGATGTGGGACCAGCAGATGGTGTAGCAGTTCTGTCACTGGACTCTCACAAGGCCAACTGCAGTTTAAGTCTTGGACCTGATTGCTTGAAACTCATGCTGGGAGTGTGTGCATGCATGCCCAAGATCCTGGGAGGAGAGTGGAAAAGAGACTGCAGCATGTCCATCCCCCTTGCTGGGTGGGTGATTTCTCACTTCCCTCTCACTGTCTTTGTCTCTCTCTCAGGTGAGCACACGAGCTCTAAGGCAAAAATCTCCAAAGGTGCCTGATGAATCCTTTCTCTGAATTTTTATATATTCTCTCTAAAAAACCAGCTTGGTTGTGTGGACACTTTTTTTTTGTGGTGATATGAGAAGTCTGTGTTAGACTGAGCAGGAGCAATGACTGGTGTGGTAGTGTGAAGATGGGGAGAAATTCAATATGGTGGACTATAGGGAGTATTTCAAGACATTCCTACCTTCCAAAAAGATATTCTTTGCTACTTAGGAATATTTCCAAAAGAAACAAAATTACACTCTAATATGGAAACAACCAAAGTACTCCATATACAATCATTTAGGTTGAGTTTTAAAGTTTTCATTTATTACATTTGCCCACTATTCATATTTTCTCTTTATTTAATCATGATGTTAGGAGGCTGTATGCTTTGATTTTTCAGTGATATCAGTAATGGGTTTCATGGGCCATTCACAGAGTTTTGTCAGGTTCCTCTATTTTTATTTTTTAGTTAATGGGTAATTTTAGGGCTTAGGATTATGGGAGTCTTTGTGAATTAATTCACGTTTGTACTGAAACAATGTTTTTAACTTCTTTAATACTGGTAACGTTCTAGTTTTACTAGCTGATTCTTTTTTTTTGGGAGAGGTTTTTGCTATAGGGCATGTGTGCTCGCCAGAAAGACAGAGAGAGACAGAGAGAAAGCGAGAAATCACCCCCCAGGGGGGATTGCCACGTCGCAATCCCTTCTCCTCCATTCTCCTCTCTGGTTCTTGGGCACGCACGCATGCACACGTGCCCGGTGTGAGTTTAAGCCATTGGGTCCGGGACTTAAACCGTGGTCAGCTACATGGGAGTTCAGCGACATAGCCATTAAGTAAACTGCTGGTTCCAATATCTGATTCTAACTAGTAAAAAAAGAATTGCAATTATTAAATAAGTTACAAATCACTAATAGCAATATAGTAGAATTGAAATATGTAGTACATGTAACTTTGTTATTAAATGTTACAAAGTAAAATATTAGTAATTTTTGCCTATTGAAATTCAGGTTCTTAGAAACAGACCAATTGTGGGGACTACTATGAGTCTTGAATTTAGGAGGATTCTGCAGATGTTTCCCTTGTCTCCTGGAATTCAAGGATCTTGATCGAAAGGAATGTGAATCCACACACAGCCAGGTGAGAATGTATGATATACTATCTATTAAAAAATAAGGTCATTTTTCCTTTTGCCTAATGTGATAATACCACTTTTTGGGGATGGTAATTTGAATATTACAATTTTAAGGATATATAAATAATCAAATATCTATAGTGAGAATTAATCAACTTTACACATATTTAAAATAATTTTTTATAAAAATATAGATTAAAAACCTTTTTTGCTCCTTCATTCTTAACTTCATAAACCCTAATTTGTCCCACTTTTAGACATCATTTGACACCGACGCCCTTATTAGCGGCGCTACTTTGGCAATCATCTATGTCCCAGAGCACAGGTCCTCAACCCGGTGTGCATCTACCCTGGGATAATCTAAGATCTCTATGGTCTGTGGCCAAAGGGTATGTAGTTTTAGGAAAACTGATGTACAGATCCCAACTTCCGTGAGCTCCCTTCCAGAAATGATTTGTTCTCCCACTTTAAAAGAGAAAATTATTTCTCCAATCTATTTCAGATCTTATTAAGGTATATGGCCCTAGGGTATAAAAGTTTTTGGGGAAGCACGCATAATATGAAGTCTGCCTTTTTCTGACAAAATTTAAGTGTGATTTGACTATCTGACAATGAGAAATGGCTTTGCCAATTAGATTTTATGGCACACACTTTCCATAAATCTGTAACTAAAACAGAATGAGCTAGAACTGTGTTTTTATGAAAACAGAATTAAAGCACACAACAAGCCAGAAACACAGCCCTTGCAACTATTTAAACTTACAGAAAAACATTTTTGTGTGTCATCCTAAAATTACATGGCAGGGTACCATTCTTCCTCAAAATTCTTACTTATCAGGTTAAAAAAATGTGAAAACCACTGTCCTACTGTTCATCATCTATACTTATATCCAAGTTGCTTTAGCACTCACCTTTTCAAATTTGAGTATGATACCACTACCGAAATTTTATCTAAGCTGAATGAAAAGTCATGTTAACATTAGCACAAGTGACTTTTTCATTTATCTAAAAGGTGTGTATCTGTGTTCTCCATAAAGGGCTACCTTACTGCACAGCTCCAGGGGTGCCATCTGTGTCACAGTCTGTGAGTAACACTCATGCATTATGGCAGGCAGCCTTGCTCAATTTCTGTATTTTCATAAATGACAATTTATTCTCAGACCACCAGCATTTTTTACCTGCTCATCACTCTTAGCTGATGATCTTAACTGGAATATATTAATAGAAGAATCAAAAGAGATCTTCCAAGGACCAGCAGATGGTGTAATGGTTCCATCGCTGGACTCCCACGTAGTGAACTGTGGTTTGAGTCCTGGACATGGTGGTATAACACTCACACTGGGCATGTGTACATGTGAGCCCGAAATTCCAAAAGGAGAATGGAAACTGGATTGCAGAAAGGCCATCCCCCCAGGGAGTGATTTCTCATTTCTTGTCTGTCTCTGTCTCTTCGGCAAGTACACATATCCTATAGCAAAAATTTCTAAAACTAAATAAATAAATAAAAAAGAATGTCTGGGCCGTCAGATGACATGGAGGTTAAGGTGGCTGGATCTCACATAGTAGAATGAATAGTTTGAGACCCTGATGTGGCAAGCTTGAGAAACAAGCCCGGCCTGTGTGTGCGTCTATGCCCAATATACCCTGAGAAGAGACTGGAAGTGGCAGGATTGCGGCATGGCCATCCTCCCTGGGGTGGGGTGGGAGGGATTTCTTATTTTCCTTCTCTCTCTCTCCACTCTCTCTATTTCTCTCTGGTGAGTGCACACACCCTATAACAAAAACAAAACCAAAAATCTCCCACATGCTCCTACCTTAACATGTACCAACCTACCACAACTACACATTCATGTTCTGCCTTTGCTCTTGTTCCTACTGATGATCTGTCGATCCTGTCCCCTAAGAACAACCCTTTCAAGTATACTTCCAGTTCCTCTCTCTGCAGACTATTTTTAAAAGGATTATTTTATTTAACTTTATTTTTTTTAACTATTATTTTCCGGTTTGATCAGAGAGAGATAGAGAGAGGGAAAGTGAGAAAGCAAGTCACCAGGTCTGGGACTCGAACACTGGTCGACCATGCGGGAGTCCAGCGCCTTTAACCACCGTGCCACCTGCCAGTCCCTCTCTCCAGATTATTAAGGCCGTCACTCTAGTAGCTCTCCCCTTCCTCATCAATTTTCTCTTTTGTATGGATCTCCCATCTTAAAAACTCAGTGAACCTGTCTCTGGACCTTGTATTTCTTTGTAATTACTAACCCATTTCTTGGCACTGCTTTGGAGCAAAATTCTTCATGAACTCTCTATGCATCAGCCTTCTTTCTTTTTCCTTTCTTGGTTAAATCTACTCCAAGAAGTCTTTTCTCATTCAATAGAAATTGATAACTTAAGCTTACCAATGACCTATATATTGCAAAAATCTAGTACTCAATTGTTACACCTCATCTTATTTGACCACATTTTAATTCTGTCAAGCAGCCTGAATTCACATTAAAAAACAGTTATTTCAGACCAGTATGTGTTCCCTACTTTTTTTAGTCCAAATAAAATAATGGAGAGATCACTTTGTATTAGTGATTTTGTCAGCAACATAGCTCCTTTTCTGAAGGATTATTTTGGGAGAGAACAAGAACGTACCTTGTTTTCAGACATATATGACACTTTCTCCTTTAGATAATCGGACTATCTCTTTGCTTCCAATTAGGGTTTTTTTTTTTTTTGTTTTTTTTTTTTTTAAATTCAGGATGGAGTTTGTGCATGTGAGAAAGAGAGAGACAGACAGAGACAGATAAAGGCACCCTCCACAGGGTAAGGTCACGCCATAATCTCTCCCTCTGTCCTCTAGCCTGTCAGATCATGGTGCTTGTATGTGCTTGGGGTTCCAGGCTGACCAGCTGCACATTCAAACCACAGTCGCCATGTGGGATCTAGCTTCTCTAGCTCCTTTTTAGACAGGATCTTGTCATGTTCCCAGGTCATCCTTAAGCTTATCATCTGCCTCAGTACTCTCCTGGCCCCTAAAAACTGGAGTTATAGGCATATATGCCACTGTGCCTAGAAAGTTTCACATCCATTATAAAATCCAAGTTCTGCAATATTCCTGGGGTAGATAAAAGAAGCGACCATTATCTTTGATTTAAAGCAGTTTAAAGTATCATATTACATTTGTAAGCTATAAAGTACAGTCAGCCTTCTGCATCTGTGGGTTCCACATTGGCAGGATTTAACCAAATGCAAACAGAAAAATTAAAAATCACCAAATAACAATGCAATAATAAAGAATTGAACAAATAAAAAAGAGTAGTGGGCCAGCAGGTGGTTTGGTGGATAGGGGCGCTGGATTCCCACACGGCCAACCATGGTTTGAGTTCCAGACCTGGTGACTTGCTTTCTCAGTTTCCCTCCCTCTCTCTCTCTCTGTCTCTGTCTGGTCGAATTAAAAAACAAACAAAACAAACAAATGGAATTACATAAATAAATCTTTAAAAAAATAAAAAATAAAAAAGGGTAGTAACAGTTACATAGCGTTTACATTGTATTTGGTATTTTTAAGTAATACAGAGATGATTTAAAGTATACAGAGGATATGTAGGTTACATTAAAATATCAAGCCATTTTATGTGAGAGACTTGAGTACTTGTGGATTTTGGTATCCATGAGAGATCCTGGACTGGGGATTAGCAGAATGATTAGGGTTAAAATGCTCAGTCTCTAATAAAATACCATTGTCTTTCAGCACAGTATGGACACTAATGTAAATAAATACAGACAAATCAATAGTTTAAGAACTTTTTTTGGGGGGAGAGGTTATTGCTACAGGGCATATGTGCTCGCCAGAAAGACAGAGAGACAGAAAGCAAGAAATCACCTCCCCAGAGGGGAAGGGCCATGCTGCAATCCCTTCTCCTCTTGGGGTCTTCAGCACACATGCACACATGCCTGGCATGAGTTTAAATCACTGGGTCCAGGAATCGAACTGTGGTCGACTACATGGGAGTCCAGCGACATAGCCATTACTCCATATGTTTGTCCCAAGAACTTTTCTTTTTTTTTTTATTATTATTTTACTTAACTTTATTTACTTATTTTAATTGGACCAGAGAGAGACAGTGAGAAGGAAAGCAAGAAAGCAAGACTTCAGGCTTGGGACTCAAACTGCGGTCAGCAATGTGGGAGTCCAGCGCCCTTAACTACCATGCCACCTGCTGGCCCTAAGGAAAACTTATGGCATGCAATCTTGGAACTGATCCCCCATGGATACGTATGGGACATCTATATGTGCCTTTCCTCAAAAGCAATCAATAATGGCACCCAAATATTTATAGAAAAAGGTCCATTAAATTTAACTAAGGAGACTGTAACTTCAAAATCTGGTCCTAACTTCTGGTGGTGACCAGGAGCCTAACCATGTAAGAGATGGTACTGCTGACAGGAAAGGACACACTGGACGGGGGACAGGCAGACTTATTCAGGGTAAGATGTTGTATTTCTAAGAATGCCACTGATCTTCAGCACAGTATGGAAAGTAATGTTAATGACTATAAACACCAATCAATTGATAAGTCAACCTACTGTAGTATGCAGTTATGCGTAGGCCCAGAATTGATGCCCTCAGCATTCATTCTCAGGTGATTAGACTCAGCCTAGTTGAGTCTCTAGGCTAGTCTCCTCTGTTGGGGAGCATCCTGGTTGGCTCACTGGTTTACCTCACACTGGCTTACTCCATTGTGCTTTGTGCTTTTAAAATATAATCATTTACTATGAATGCCTTGATGTGAAAAATGTTGGGTTATTTACAAACCAAAAATGATACCTATTATTAAACATCTCTGTAATTTCCTGGAAAAAAAGATTATCTTGTACCATAGTAGCTCAGTAGGAGACTTCTTTAATCACTGTAGTTTATTATTCCAAATTCAACAGCTGGCCAAGATATTCTAAGCAGATGTTCTTAGGAAGAACATTTTAAAATAGATTTTTTTTTTGAAATTCCAACAATAAACAGATTCCTATTTGTTTATTTTTTGAGTCCTCATTATGGAATGGAAGAGTCCATGAACCCCTTTTTGTCCTGGTAATGTAATCTTATCTACTTCAATACTAATGTCATCTAATCTATGTATATATTACATTTTACCTTTACTCTAGCTCCTTCACTTTCCTTTATTTCTCTTGATATTCAATGCTGAGCTGCTAGTATGCCATAACTACATTGTGAAGTTATTTATATAGTCTATCGGCAATTCGTAGAATGTCATAGGTTTTTTTGGTCAAAGGTTGCTATAAAAATTTAATGAATGTTTATAATTGTAATGCGTTAATAAAAAAGACAGTCTTCTTTAAAAGTAACATTTTTGTAATTTTTACAAGATCTTTTATATACATAGACTGAGAAGTATGTGATTTTATAAAAAATACAGTCTTTATCAGTACCAGCAGATGGCGTAATGGTTATGTTGCTGGATTCCCATACGGTCTACCACGGTTCAAGTCGTGGACCCAGTGGCTTCAAACTCACGTCAGGCACATGTGTGTGGGTGCCCAAAATCCTGAGAGAGGACTGGAGGAGAAGGGACGGCGCATGGCCATCCCCCAGGGGTGCGAAGTGACTTCTTGCTTTCTGTCTTTCTGGCAAGTGCATACACCCTAAGTGCAAGAATCTCTCTTAAAAAAAAAAAAATTGAGTATTTCTCACTTTTTTTTTTGTGCAGATAGCAGGCCCACAAGCATGGTGAACGTCCCTAAAATCCACCGGACCTTCTGTAAGAAGTGTGGCAAGCACCAACCTCATAAAGTGACACAGCACAAAAAGGGCAAGGATTCTCTGTATGCTCAGGGACAGTGGGTGACAGGAAGCAGAGTGGCTATGGTGGACAGACTAAGCCTATTTTCCGGAAAAAGGCAAAAACTACAAAGAAGATTGTGCTGAGGCTTGAATGTGTTGAGCCCAACTGCAGAACTAAGAGAATGCTGGCTATCAAGAGATGTAAGCATTTTAACTGGGAGGAGATAAGAAGAGAAAGGGCCAAGTGATCCAGTTCTAAGCCTCATCTTTTCTATTATGTTGGGTTATTTACAAACCAAAAATGATACCTATTATTAAACATCTCTGTAATTTCCTGGAAAAAAAGATTATCTTGTACCATAGTAGCTCAGTAGGAGACTTCTTTAATCACTGTAGTTTATTATTCCAAATTCAACAGCTGGCCAAGATATTCTAAGCAGATGTTCTTAGGAAGAACATTTTAAAATAGATTTTTTTTTTGAAATTCCAACAATAAACAGATTCCTATTTGTTTATTTTTTGAGTCCTCATTATGGAATGGAAGAGTCCATGAACCCCTTTTTGTCCTGGTAATGTAATCTTATCTACTTCAATACTAATGTCATCTAATCTATGTATATATTACATTTTACCTTTACTCTAGCTCCTTCACTTTCCTTTATTTCTCTTGATATTCAATGCTGAGCTGCTAGTATGCCATAACTACATTGTGAAGTTATTTATATAGTCTATCGGCAATTCGTAGAATGTCATAGGTTTTTTTGGTCAAAGGTTGCTATAAAAATTTAATGAATGTTTATAATTGTAATGCGTTAATAAAAAAGACAGTCTTCTTTAAAAGTAACATTTTTGTAATTTTTACAAGATCTTTTATATACATAGACTGAGAAGTATGTGATTTTATAAAAAATACAGTCTTTATCAGTACCAGCAGATGGCGTAATGGTTATGTTGCTGGATTCCCATACGGTCTACCACGGTTCAAGTCGTGGACCCAGTGGCTTCAAACTCACGTCAGGCACATGTGTGTGGGTGCCCAAAATCCTGAGAGAGGACTGGAGGAGAAGGGACGGCGCATGGCCATCCCCCAGGGGTGCGAAGTGACTTCTTGCTTTCTGTCTTTCTGGCAAGTGCATACACCCTAAGTGCAAGAATCTCTCTTAAAAAAAAAAAAATTGAGTATTTCTCACTTTTTTTTTTGTGCAGATAGCAGGCCCACAAGCATGGTGAACGTCCCTAAAATCCACCGGACCTTCTGTAAGAAGTGTGGCAAGCACCAACCTCATAAAGTGACACAGCACAAAAAGGGCAAGGATTCTCTGTATGCTCAGGGACAGTGGGTGACAGGAAGCAGAGTGGCTATGGTGGACAGACTAAGCCTATTTTCCGGAAAAAGGCAAAAACTACAAAGAAGATTGTGCTGAGGCTTGAATGTGTTGAGCCCAACTGCAGAACTAAGAGAATGCTGGCTATCAAGAGATGTAAGCATTTTAACTGGGAGGAGATAAGAAGAGAAAGGGCCAAGTGATCCAGTTCTAAGCCTCATCTTTTCTATTATGAAGATGGCAAAATCCTGAGGTGAACGTTCACCTCATTTGATTACAGTTGGTCTGTTTGTAAGGGAAATTTGATTTCATGGTACTAAAAAAAAAAAAAAATTGAGTATTTCTCAATAACTTTAGAAAATGGATTATTTGGGGCCTTTAAAAAATGGTTTCTTCAGGGCCGGCAAGTAGTGTGGTGGTTAAGGGTGCTGGACTCCCACATGGCCGACTGCGGTTCAAGTCCCAGACCTGGCAGCTTGCTTTCTCACTTTCCCTCTCTCTCTCTTTTTCTCACTCTGTCCCTCTCTGGTCAAATAAATAAATGGAGTTAAATAATTTTTTTTTAAAATGCCTTCTTCATTTAAAAATAATTTATAGCTTTCAATTAAGAAAACTATTAACTAGTGAAATGCTGCAGAGAAAAGGACTGTTTCAAAGGAAAGATTGACAGGCCAACCCCATAGCCTAGTGGTTAAGGGACCAGGATCCCACATGGCCAACCTCAATATAAATCCTGGTGCTGGTTTGAAATACATGTCAGACACATGTGCGTGTGTTTGTGTGTATGCCCCAACTCCTGAGAGGGCAGAGAAATGAAGGGGATGGACTGCAGTGGTGAGACAGGAGTTGGATCCTATTCACAGGCACATAGAGCAGCCCCCTTCCCTCAGGAGGACCATTGCCGTGGGACTGCTCACAGTTACTCTTCTCCCAGTCACCATATTCCTTTGATCTTAGACACGTGAATCTTGTCCGTGAATAATCATGGCCCAAAGTTCTTAGACAAAGAATCTCCTGACCTTTGTATACACTCCAAGATTAGGAGAATAACTGGACTCATCCAGCATGTGCCCCTCCCCACCAGGGGGGATGCATTACACAAGCCCCATCCAGACAAGTCCAGAGAGAGCCCTTCCTGACCCCAATAAAACCCCTCACCACGGTTCTTCCTTGGCAACCCATTTTCCGAGACCCCTCCCTTCCTGGGAGCTGTTTTTCCTTCTCTTTCCTTCAAGAAAACTCCCTGCTTTGCTATACATACTCTCTATGGCATGACTCTAATTCTTCCTGAGCATGGGACAAGAATCTGTGTCTCACTGCTGGTGCTGGGCCCAAACACTCCTGCACCCCCTCGCCCAAGTCAGTAGTGTGGCCACACCCCACTGAAGGGTGCTTTCTTCCTCGCTATACCTCCCCATCCAAGGTGAGAACCTCTGGCAATTTAAAGACAAAAGAAAAGATTAGAAAAAAACTATGACAAAGAAGACTCAGAGGGAAGGCTTTGCTTAAATTAAAAAAAAGGAAGAGAGCAATAGGCTGAATTTTAATTTAGACCTCAATTTTCACTTTTCCCGAAGACTGAGAAATTGGTCATTCAGAACAAAACTGAAGTAATAATCAAACCAGGGCATCCAAAATTTTGTAGCTTTAGCAGAATAAAATATAAAAGAGAAATGATCACTTCTGATCATTTTAAAACATTTGGTAACAGCATACAGGCTAGGTAAATTGGTTAAGTGTTATTTTTCTGTACTCTGTGTTTTCCAATTTTATTTACTTATATTTTTGATGTGAACCTATATATTTCTATTTGTGAATAAAAGTAATTATATGTATATTTACAGATGTAGCAAATGCCTAGGAATTGACTATTTACTTCCCACAATTCACTAGGTGACAGAAAAAAAAGTAGAAAGAAAAAAAAAGTTCAAAAGAGACTTTTTTTTTTTTTTTAGGAGGTTTTTGCTATAGGGCGTGTGCGCTTGCCAGACAGACAGAGACAGAGACACAGAAAGTGAGAAATACCCCCCCCCAGGGGGGATGGCCACGCTGCAATCCCTTCTCCTCCATTCTCCTCTCGGGATCTTGGGCACGTGCACACACACGCGCCCGGCGTTGAGTTTAAGCCACTGGGTCCGGGATGTGAACTGCGGTCGACTACATGGGAGTCCAGCGACATAGCCATTACGCTAACTGCTGGTCCCATAAACTTCTATAACAATATTACAATTTAATAATCAACTGATAACATTTACTGATATTTAAAATTGCACTGAGGGGCCTGCAGTTAAGGTGCAGGACTCCCATGTGGCTGACCACAGTTCGAGACCTGGACCTGGTGGCTTGTTTTTTCACTTTCTCTCTTCCTTTTTCTGTCTCTGATCAAAAACTGGAAAATAATAATAATACATAAAGTTAAATAAAATAATTCTTAAAAAAACCCTACACTGCGAAGTAGCTTCTAAAGTTCTTAAAAGTTATTGGTTTAATATGACATGGTTAAAGGCTGTTTGCTAGCTTTCTGACACTGCAAGTCACTCAATCTCTCTGTACTTCTGTGTCCTGATCTGTTAAATGTGGGCAAATAATATCCTGACCACAGAGAGTTATAAATAAAGAGTATGTGTAATTGCATAAATGGTACTGGAACACTTCAAGTGGAACATGTATGTTAGTTATTATTTTTCCTATTGAAGTATTTAAGTATTGAGTATATTTAAGCATTAAGTAACATATTAGTCATGATGATTAGAAAATAGTGCTCTGAATATTAATGTAATTTAGGTATATAATAAAGCTAGGATCAGAGAACAAGCAAGAATGTTAAAACATAAAAGAAACTTAATAAATATTCAAATACTTTTTATGGCTAATAAAATCAATATTTAGATTAGCTGACTGCTAAAAGTTCTATTATGAAATATCTATTATTAATGTGAAAGCCAACTGCTATGATCTGTAATACTAGTATTATTTTAGTTCAGGCAGTTTCTCTAGTGCTGTTTTCTTAATTTATTTTTAGTTTTTTTGCTATAGGTGCATGTGGTTATGGAGAGAGACAGAGAGAAATAGAGAGGGGGGGAAAGTGAGAAATCACCCCTCCCCAGGAGGGATGGACATGCTACAGTCCCTTTTGCTGCATTCTCTTCTCAAGATTTTGGGTATGCAAACACTGGTGCCTGGCAGGATTTTCAAGCCGCCAGGTCTGGGACTTGAACCATGGTTGGCCATGTGGGAGTCCAGTGCCATGACAACACTGACACCTGTTGGCCCTTTCTAGCTGTTTTTAGCATCTAACACTTCTTGTTTCTTACTCTACAGAATGCTAATCACTTTACATGTATTATCTCCCTTCTCCTCCATTCTCCTCTCGGGATCTTGGGCACACACGCACAAGCACCTGGCGTGAGTTTAAGCCACTGGGTCAGGGACTTGAACAACAGCCGACTACGTGGGAGTCCAGCGACATAGCCATTACGCTAACTGCTGGTCCCAATAGTCTTTTTAACCTTGTAAGTGATACTATTATTCCCATTTTGAGGAAACTGAAGTTCACTTAAATTATGTAACCTAGTCATTGTTTGAACTATAAGTAATTCGTACATGTGAAGTCAGAGTTTGGCTCTTTACCACTTTCATGTTAGT